TGCAGTGCCTTCCGAAAATCCGCCGGCAGCAGGTTAAAGGGCCTCTAAAAGAAATGGAGACTCTCACGTGCGGCACGGAGGAAGCCGAAGGGAATGAAAATTAAAATTAGCATTTTTCTGAGCGCTTTTTTTTGTTTTTGTGTTTTTTGGAGGGACTGCTGCTAACAAGGCAGGGCGCTCCGCCGCGCTTCACACTGTAGGTACACCGTTCGCGTTCGCGGTGGCGGCGCGGCCGGGCGGTGGGATTCTACTGCTGTGTCCCATGATGGGTTCGACGCGCGGAGGGCGGGGCGGGGCGGGGCGTGGGTCGGGTGACCTTGTTCCGAGACTTATGGGGCGCTAATTGTGTGTGTGTGTGTGTGTGTGTTTGTGTGCGTGAGCCCGTTTTCTAGTGTAGGCTAGGAGGAGGTTCACGGCAAGCGCTTGCTTTTCTCGCGTGGTATGGCATGTGAGGACGTATCCTCGTCACTTCTTGTGTGCGTGTGTGTGTATGTGTGTGTGTGCGTGCATGCGTGTGTGTGCGTGTGCGTGAGCGACGCGACACTGGCGCCGGGTCCCTTAAGGGCCGCACGCGTTCGGTGTGTCGTCTACAAAATGTCGACTTCACGACGTTTAGGGAGGAAGACCCTTGTAGGACGAGGACAGGTCCATCGCATTCAGCCTCCAAAACGACAAATCCGGAACGATAGACGAACAGAGCGTCATTTTGGTTGTCTTCTGACTCGCAGCCGCCGCCACACGCTGTGATGCGGTAGGGGCGTGCCATGGGGGCGCACGGCTCGAAGCAGGGGGTGGGGGTGGGCCACCCGGTGGGGGCGGGGGGGCTGCCGGACCCGTCCATCTTGCACATCACGTCGTCCACCAAGCGGCGACTGGGCAGCTTTGGGAGCTTCAGAAAAGGTAAGAGATGTGCATTACCGCGCTGCAATTAAAAACACACATCACTTACTATTTTACAAATTTTGGTTTGAAATGCGGCACTGCCTCTGATGTGACTGTGACATTCGTTGAGGATGCCGTCATACGCACAGTGGGGGAGAGAACCCGTCCAACTGTCTGTGTCCGTTTCACCACACACTCACACAGACACGCTCGTCCCGGGCCGCGTAGCGCGTGCCTGTTTGCGTTGTTCACTTTCCTCTCCCGTTTGATCTGTGCCGCCGAGTTTGTCACCGAATCTTTTTTTTCCTCTCCTTTTTCCGCGCCTCGCAGAAATGAGAAGCCGTCTGTCCGTTTGTGGCTTGGGGATCGGGACGGGAGAGGTTGGCGGGGAGCGCGGCCCCACCTTTGTGCACTCGTCCGCCTCCACCGCGACGGCGCTGACGGCGGCGACCCTGGGCAACCCTGGCCGTCGTGGACGCGTCGTGGACGTGAAGTGCGTGGGGCGGGAGGAAGATTCATCGCCTTGATGAACGCGGCCGATGCGCCGCATGGAAATTTATTGAAATTGGTTCTGAGGCGCCGTTTATTCTGACTATGCATGCACCTTGCGCACCGCGCGTCGTGGAGGCGCCGCGCAGTGGGCCAGAAGAGCGGCGGAGGCGGCCGAAACTCCAGACGCGTTTTGAGCTCCAGAGTCGCTAAGCAGAACTCGAACCGAACTTGTGACCCCACCAATGGATTGCTCTCCAAACGAGAAATCCATTGGTAGGGTCACACGTTCGGTTCAAGCCCCATTTAGCGACTCTGGAGCCCAAAACGCGTCCGGAGTTTCAGCCGCCTCCACCGGTCTTCTGGCCCACTGCGCGGCGTTTTCGCGCTTCGCTCGCCAAAACGCGGACGTGCTGCAACGTGGGGTCGTCGACACGCTCTCCTTGCAGTGCAGTGGACTGGACGCCTCCGCGCGCCAAATTCATAATGGGGTGCTGAAGGCGCTCGACTCGATTATTGGCAGGTGCACTGTGTGGCGTGAGTGACTGCCAATAACGATCCACCTTCTCGTTGAGCCAGTCGCTCCAGTCCGGTGTCGTTTGCGTTGGCAGCGCGGCGTACGACAGCAGCAATTTCTCTTCTTCTTTTCTTTCTGTTCCGCCTCCCTGCAGCGTGCCGCTGCCGCTGCTGCGGTCGAAGGAGGAGGAACCGACGTCACGGCATCGTTTAATTTTGGTCGAAAACCGCGCGGATGCTGCTGCGGCCGTTACGTGTCCAGTTCAGTTACGCGTCCCGAAAATGGAATGGAATGGAAGGTTGCGGTAGTGTGTGTGTCTGTGTGTGTATGCGGCGGGGGATTTAAAAATCGGCGGACGCGGCCGGCGTGTCGAGAAAGCGCGCCTGGCTGCATCGAGTGCATAATTTGAGGCACGGGCGTGCGCGTGCCGCGTGGCGTGGCGCGCGGCGTGGGCGTTGAGGGTGGCGAACGGGTCGCGTCGTGCCTCTCCACTTTCCACACAATATTCAGCATATAGCTATGCAGCGGCAGGAAGAGGAGGAGGAAGGATGCTGTTCAATTTGCCGGGGAGGCTGTTGTTGTTATGGTGTTGTTGTTGTTGTTGTGGCTGCGCTGTCGTTATATAGAAGTACATTTGCACGTTGCTGTGGCACTGGAAAGGTTGCAGTGGGAATGAATGAATGAATGAATGAATGAATGAATGAATGAATGAATGAATGAATGAATGAATGAATGAATGAATGAATGAATGAATGAATGCGACTCTGTCACAAATTCAGTGCAGAAATAAAAATGAAAATTTTAGATGGGTGGTGGCGTGGGATGTAAAGTTTTTGACAAATGAGCCAAATGGAAGGGAGAAGTGCGGAGTAATGAATGGGAAAATGAAGGCCCACGGTACGACAGCTTCCGTGGTCCGTCGTCGTCTCTCCCTCACGTCGGGCTGGCGGCGCAGAGGCGTTCAGCCTTGACAGGCGGCCTTCCCTTCCCTTTCGGGCTTGGTGCCCTGGGGCTGTCGGGGCTGTCCGGGTCACGGGGCACGGGACCCCGTCATCCGGCGGCGCCGTCGGTGGCGTCGCTTGACGTCCCGGCCGAACGCACCGACACCGCACACACGCCGACACACGACTTGACAAATCGGAGACGTGTTCACAGGCATTGTCTGTCGACGGGGAGGGAAGTGCGTTTGCTTTGACTGGCGCGCCGTCGCCGCGCGGGCTGCGGAGGCGGGCAAGGCGATCGGCAGCTCGCCGTCTTACAGTGGCCAAAACTCCGGACGCGTTTTGAGTCGCTAAACGGGACTCGAACCGAACGTGTGACTCCACCAATGGATTCCTCGTTCGGAGAGCAATCCATTGGTGGGGTCACACGTTCGGTTCGAGTCCCATTTAGCGACTCTGGACCTCAAAACGTGTTTAGAGTTTTGGCCGCCTCCACCGGTCTTCTGGCCCACTGTGGGGCGCGCCTTACCGGTGCGAGAGAGACGGAGCGACTGCGCTGAATCAGTCTGGTCACTTTGGGGGCGAGTGGCCGTCAGTCTGGCTACCGAGGGGTGCGCCGTGCCGCCCGGTGCCGCCACTGCCAGGGGTGGGTGTCACTGCCACTCGGCGACACGTGGCTTTGGGCGCTTTGCTGCGGGCTTTGCGGGGGCTTCCGTTCAGCCGAGGGGGAGGGAGAGGGGAAATTTGCGAGCGAGCACGGCAATGGGGGGCGTGGCGGCGTGGCCAAAGCCCGGCGGCCGGGACAGAGGCGGGCAGGGCAGGCAGAGGGCAGGGCGTCAATAAGGCTTCCGCCAGAGATGACCCCGTTCTGCCTTTTGCACGCCACTGTACGGACTGTACACTGGGAGTGCATCGCGGCCCGCCTGTGTGAGTGTGTGTGTGTGTGTGTGTACAGTCCGTGCCGCCAGCGAGGCGGTGGCGGCGCTTCCGCTGCGATCGAGACATCGAGACATCGCTTCATTCGTGGCGGCAATGGGGCGCATCTGCTCGCCGGTTGGTTCGTTGGTTCCCGCTCCGAGGACGCCCCCCCCCCTCCTTTTCCCTTCTCGCCCCTCAAGTCAGCCCAAGGCACCCCAAGGGCAGGTGAGAGAACCGCCCACACCCATCCTTCCGAGACCCTTTAAAAATAAAATAGGAGTAGGAGGGTCGGTGTGTTGTCTTCGTTGGATGATTGTAATTTGGGTCCGCGCTGTTCGATACACACACACTCTCACACACGACTCCGGGCACATGCCGGCACGTTGGGCAGCTGTCGGGTACTCGCTGCGCAGATGACTCGACGTCGACTCCACGGATGCAACGCGTCTCCGCCTTAATGGCCGGAGGGATATTTCCCCGCGGAGGGAGGGACATTTCCCTCGCTGCGTCTCGCGGGTCCGTCCGTCCCCCGCGGCGACGCGTGCGCTCGGTGCCCCCTTCCTCTCTCTCCCCGAAATGCGAACGCACTCGCGCTGACACGCTATCGCCAGGCCAAATAACAAAGCACTCTGTCTGTCAGGTCGGTACTCCCATCCCAGTCTCCGCGATAACTTTTCGAAAACCCCGTTTCTGGGGAACGGTCGTTGCGTCCGCATGTCCGCCAAATCGAGGTCTTTACTTTTGCGTCTCAAATGTTTGTCTTGCGTCGGTTCTTTTCGCCGCCGTCGTGTCGCAAGGCCCGGCTCGAAGCGTGCAGGCAGCTTTTCAGCTGACACAAGTTTCGTGCCCCCCTTCCCCCTCCCCCCGCTCGAGTTTCGGTTTCGGCGCGTGTGTGGGGTGCAGCCTTATGTTCGCACGACGGTGTTTCAACCCTCTCAACCAGTGTCCTTATTTTCCTCCTGCGGAAAGATGAGTTTTTTTTTTTCAAAACGCAGAGTGCGCAAGTTTGCTGTTTTGGTGGTGATAGACCGCTGCCGCGTTGGTTCGGTTGGCCGCCCTGCGTCCGCCGCGCCGGGCCGCCGGCTGCCTCAGTGTTGACGGGCACCTCGAGCGTGCCGCACGCCGGCGACGAGCACCCCAAGTTGACGGACTGTAGACACAGTGACTGACGCCGGACAGCGACGACGCCGTCCTCGCCACGATGGGCGGCCCCTTGCAGGGCATCGCCAAACTGATCGCCATGTTTGACGCAGGGTCCAAGAAGAACCGCAGCTCGAGTCCGCTGAGCGACGCCTCGACCAACTCGACGCGAACGAAGAGTGCGACCCTACCCACGCCCCGCGCCACCGCACGTGAGTACACTGTAGGGCTTGAATTTTTGTCGCTGGTATTGGCTCTCGAACCGTTATCGCGAATAGGTTACAACGTGGCTCACGTTTCCCGCCAAATGCACTGCCAGCCTGTCACTGTCGTTGGAGGCTGCCACCTGTTTGTTTGTTTACCTGGCCGGGGAGATTCCCCCGAGCGCGGAGTAGCGTCGCCCGACTCGCGTCGATGTCGATACCCCGCGCTCGGCGGCTCGGCGTTGCGGGGTTTCCTCTGGGCCGCCGCCAGAGCGCGCTGGTGGGCGGACTGCGCTGCGCGTCGGATGGGCTGCCTACCCTGCGGGCTGCGAACGGACACAGCTGGTTGGGTTGCCCACCCTACGGGCGCCGTGCCGCGCAAAAATTAAAATTTGAGGAGAACTGAGAGAGAGAATTTTAATTGGCCGGTTCTTTGGTTTGCAGATGGCGGCTCCAGGGAGCGGTCGGCCAAGGACAAGGCGGCGGACATCACCAACGCCGACGTCCTCAAGAAGAATCAGAGGAACAAGACCTCCGTGACGCCCGTCCTACCTCGCGCCGGTGAGTACTCGACCGTTGCTGGTGGTCAAGAGAGGAAACAACTCATCGTTTGACGATTCTCTTTTTAATATGACAGAAGTAAGTTTGAAAAGTTTTAAGAGGGTGTCCTGCGGCTGCTGGTGCAGATGGCGGTCTGTTGGGACTGAACACTCTAGTTGATTTGGCGGGCTTGGTAGTGAAATCTGCAGCTCGCTGGCCGGCCGGCCGGCGCGCCGATGGCTGATCGGGTGGTTTAGCCGGCCGGGCCGATAACTGCCTGGACGAGCGTATAGACGCTAGACCGAGCGCTCGACGCACCTCGCCTGGAGCCTGTATATAGCGCTACCCTTGTGATGACTTTCTCGCAATCGCAGTGAAAGGCCCGCCATCTCGCTCGCACACCCCCGTGGCTCGGGCTGGCGTAAGCCTGATACATCCGGGGAGCTTTAAAAAAATAACAGCGGAAACAAAAGTATGGCGCCCCGAGCGTGGTTTGAACCCAGGGCTCGGGTTACGGCGGCCCCTCGCGTGGCGTGGGTGGTCCTGCGTGGCGGCGGTGATTCTCCGCGGTGTCGTGTCGCGGTGCCCCGAGGTGGGCAGGACGACGACGACGACGACGACGTTGATGGCGCGGACGAGGAGGAAGAGGAGAGAGATCCGACGGCGATACGTGTTGGAGGCGACGCACAGTGGGCCAGAGGAGACCAGTGGAGGCGGACAAAACTCAAGACGCGTTTTTAGGCCCAGAGTCGCTAAACGGGACTCGAACCGAACGTGTGACTCCACCAATGGATTCCTCGTTCTGAGAGCAATCCTTTGGTGGGGTCACACGTTCGGTTCGAGTCCCGTTTAGCGACTCTGGGGCTCCAAACGCGTCCGGAGTTTTGTCCGCCTCCACCGGTCTTCTGGCCCACTGTGCGACGCGCGCGACGCGACGCCCCGCCGGCCGTGTTCGTGACGAGCCTCGAATTGGGGCAGGTCGACGATGACGCCGCGGTGGCACGGCGGGCACGGCGGGGGCCGCGCTGGAGCCACGTGGCGGTTGAATCGCAAATAAACAAGTCTGTCTTTGTTTTGACCCCTCTGGTCATTCCCCCTCGCCGCTCCGGAAATGCGTCCATCGTCGTCCGCTGACCGTGGCGCCCTCTCGCGGCGGCGGCGCGGCGGCCGTCGTCGTTGCAGTGCCGACACGCCGACTCGGCTGGCTCTCTGGATTAGTGAAAGTGATCCGGCATTAATTTGCGGTGCTGTACACAATGCGGCGCTGATGCAGTGGCGAGGCCTCGCGCGACGGGGAGGATAGATGACGGCGATTGATTGAGTCAGCGTCGGCGGTTGGGGGGAGAAAAGGCACAAATTTTGGAAAACCTCAAATTGGTGCGGGAGAGACTTTGAACTGGCCCGGAATTATTTTCAGCTTTCGCACTCGGCACTCGAAAAATTGATCGTTGGACTCATCATATGTCTTGCAGTGTCTCGGCCGGTCATTGTGCCGGTTAGTCACGGCCGAGCCGCTCCGCCCCTGCTCCACCCCGCCGCCCCGTCCCGCCGTCCCTTTGGGCGCGATGCGGCGCTGCGTCGCGACGCTCTGACTGCCGATGCACACTGCCAAAACGAAACGGGGATCGAACGGCGCCATGTCTGTCTGTCCGTCCGTCTGTCTGTCTGCCTGTCCGTCTGTCTGTCTGTCTGTCCGTCTGTCTGTCTGTCTGGCCGTCCATCTGTCTGTCTGTCTGTCTGTCTGTCTGTGCGTGGCGGCGTGGCCGGTGCCGCGGCAGTGCCGGGGTCGCGCCCCGTCGCGGAAGTGACCCGATCCGCGGCGGCGTCCCGCGCGTCCCGCCTCGCGTCCCGCTCACCTGACGAGCCGCGGTGCTGGACGACGCGCTCTGTCCTTCTCGCGCCGACGGTGCGTGTCTGAGAGGTGCGAGAGGGACGGGGCTAGAGGAACGAAAGTGCGCCGAGGCACGCAAAGTGCCGCAAGTGGCCGCCTTTGCGACTTGACGCATTTGCGTCCCGTCGGTGGTGGACCTCAGCGCTGCGACTTGAGTAATGATTCGCCGTCCGACGCTAGCTGTTACCGTGTTCTTGACGGCCGCGGCCAGGCTATGGGATTGGGCCACCCTCGCCGCTGTGGGTGGCGGCCTGACCCACAGTGTGCCCTGGAGGTGGTCAAAATCTCGGACGCGTTTTGAGCTCTAGAGTCGCTAAACAGGACTCGAACCGAACGTGTGACGCCACCAATGGACTGCTCTCCGAACGAGGAATCCACCACACGTTCGGTTCGAGTCCCGTTTAGCGACTCCGGAGCTCGAAGCACGTCTAGAGTCTTGGCCGCCTCCACCGGTCTTCTGGCAAATCCACTGTGTGGCGGTCTGGTTGTCCGCGGGGTGTGTGTTCGCACGGCCGCCTCGCTGCGCGCTGCGCGCTACGCCCCGCTCGGAAGGACGCGAGTAGGATCGCGCGGTTCGTCGCTCTGTCTCTCTCGCACCCTGACGGAGAGCCCCATGAGTGCGAGAGGGACAGAGCAGTGGGCTGACGGTGACGGCATCGGCGGCATTTGCCTGCAGTGCACGTGTCACCACGTGTGCGCTCGTCAGCCCGCCGGGGAGGCAAGGATCCGGTCCAGTCTGCCCGCCCGAGGTCCTGCGCGAGGTCCTGCTCGCCCACGGGATCTAGGCTAGCGCTGCGGCAACAAAGGACCTGATTCCGAGAGTCGTTCGCGTCGCTGCGTCTCTCTCGCACTCGTTGGGCGTCCCGTGTGGGTGCGAGAGAGACAGAGCGACGGCTCTCGGAATCAGTCTGCTGCAATTGTGCAGCGCGCTCGTCAAGTGCAAAGTGGTGCGGTGCGCGGCAAGCAAGCGTCCTCGCGATGCACCTGTTGCCGCCTTTTTGTCGTCTTGTTGTTTGCTTGTTGTTTTTCTTTTTGTTGTTGTTTTTTTACGCGGGGCAGTGTCCATTAGTGCCCTCCGTATAAAGGCTGGCGCGTGCAGCGGGCTGCCTTGGCGTTGGGGTTGTTGCGCTGCGGCGGGACTGAGAGTCGTTTTGATTGCGCTGTCCCTCTCGCACTCGTGGGGCCGGCGGTGCACTATGCGCTGGGGCGCACAGTGCATTTGCCGTAGGCGGCCAAAACTCTAGTCGCGTTTTGAACTGCAGAGTCGCTAAATAGGACTCGAACCGAACGTGTGACCCCACCAATGGATTCCTCGTTCGGAGAGCAATCCATTGGTGGGGTCACACGTTCGGTTCGAGTCCTATTTAGCGACTCTGCAGCTCAAAACGCGTCCGGGATTTTGGCCGCCTCCACCGGTCTTCCGGCCCACTGTGGGGTGCACTTGGCGGGGTAAGCTGGCCGGGAAACGTCCGCTTCCTGGGCCGCCGCTCCGCTGCGCTGGCTGCGCTCCACCCCTACGTGACCTTTCGCCTATTTGCCGATGACGCGATTGGGCATATGTGTGGCATTGGCAAACGCCACGCCCGCGAGAGTGTTGGCGGCAGTGTGTGGTCTAGGCCGCGGCGTCCTCGCGGCGTCCTCGCCGTCCTGGCCGGTATGGTCGGCATGGGCTGCCTCCGCGGCGGCGCCACGGCGACGCCACGGCCCCTTGTGCTGCCGTGCTGTGCGTGCCGCCCCGCACGCAGTCGTGCGATCTGCGCCACGCCGACGGCACCGCCAGCACGGTCAGTCAGTCAGTCTTCCCCCAACTTGGCGACGGCTCGGTTGACACGAAGAGCGCGCTCTCGTATCGCGTGTGACGCGTTCCGGCTGTCACGGTGTGCGACGCCGTGACGCAAAATCGTGACGAGATGTGTGACGTCAGTGCAGTGCTCCAGTGTGACGGTCACAGTGGTTGACTGTTGAATGTGACGGGATCCGTGACGTGGTGTGACTGGGGGGTGATGGTGGTGGCCATGCCCCACCGGCTGGCCTGCGTCGTGCTGGTGGGGGTGCTGGTCCTGCGCCGCCGCTGGCAGCACGGGGGATGGCCTCCCTGGAACTGGAGCCGCTGGAGTCGCTGGACCTGGAACGTGTTCCAGTGGCGCCACTGCGGTGAGTCTCTGTGCCCTGCACTGAAAAAAGTGTCTAAAACCCCTTGAAAAAAGTCTACCAGCCAAAATTTAAGAAAAGCTCAGTAAAAAATCTAAGAAATATATGTATATTCTGTGGATTCCCTTTATTGTTTTTGTGAATGATGGATCAGTGATAATGAAATAATGCGGCTAGGCCGGGCTGGGCCGCCGCGGCGTTGGTCGGAGTGAAAGTCCCTCGCCATTATTAACGGTCTATATTTCTTCCTCTTTTTTCCGCACTTTGCCTTTTGCCTTCCGAGTGATGCAGGCGTGATGGTTACGCCGGGCCCTGTCCGGCACGGCACGGCGCGGCACGGCGCAGCGCGCGCAGCCGCTCGACTCACTGTGATGCAACCTTCGGGAGTTAGCTTCGATTTATCGGCTGATCGGTCCAGATGAGTGAAACCGGGCACGACGCCCCCCCCCCCCCCCGGCCCAACTACCCGACAAGTGCAAAAGCGCAAATTGTTTCGTTGCCAGGAACTTTTTATTTTTTGCACTTTTCGAAAATGCGCAGGGAGTATGTGTGTGCGTATTTGCTTGGAACCGAGCGGAAGGCCTAAGGTTTGTCCTGTGGGTGGCGGTCGTCCCCTCGCTCTATCTCGAAAAACACACACGCACACACACACTCACTCACACACTCACACACTCACACACTCACTCACACTCACGCACGCACCACACACACCACACACACACACACACACACACACACACACTTACGCCCCGTGCCCGTAATGACGGTTTCTCTGTGCGATACATCGACGGCTTGTCGGACCGGCACTTCGATATATCGACGTGTGCGCACACTGGATGGGCTTTCTCTCTATACGGCCGGGCTCCACATTGCGGTGTAGTCGTTGCCGCGCCGCAGCGCCGCCAGCTGATTGGCTGCGAAAAGGGCGGCCAGGCGAGCAGCGTGCCAAATTTTGAACAAAAGCACTAAATTTTTCGAA